CTCCAAACTGGATCAAGGCAGGATGTGGCTCCCTGGAAACAGAATGATGACCAACAGCAAAACCTGAAAAACTGCTGGCCTGCACTTTGGAGATGAGGGGAAAAGGGCTCCTTCATTTTAACACCAATCCTTGGCTTTGATATTTAAGGATGCCAAACAAGCCAGTCTCCCCTTTAACAAGCAAGATCAAGGAGCAAAACTTCAATGCAGGAAGGGTTAATGGATGCCAAGATGAGCACGCAGGAGTTAATCCTTACCTCCCTGCTGGTAGCAAGAACAGAAGGCTGGGATCCAGGAGGGAGAATTCTTCGGGGAGCTCCTACAGGCAGGTTTTGCCCCTGAGGAAGCTGGATGGACTGTGGTAGAATCAGGGGCTGCTGGCCAGAGCCGTAGCGGGGCAGAGGAAGCTGGGAGCCAGGCACAGGCATTGTTAGCTGTGTGATAAGGACACGTAGTTAACTTCACGGTGGTAACAGTCTTGTGTTTGACACGCTGTCTCCTAATAACCCTGAAAGCACAGCATTGCTAAAAGGAAGCTCACAAACACTGCAGTCTGGCACAGAACAAATGCAAATCAATGTAACAGAGGGACTTTCACACTGAAATGCATGTTCTCGTAGTGTTGCCAACACTCTACCAGCTGGGCTTTTAGCATGCCATCAATTTAGCATAACTGCACTCAGACACAAGGCTTTCCTCCTTGCCTAGAACCTTCACCCAGTTCTTCAGTCTTCCTCATGGTTGCTGCATGGGTGTATTTTCTCTTGATACGATGGCAGTAGACAGCTCAGTGTCAAGCGTTTTATTTGTAGCTTTGGTACACAAATCAGAAAGTCTACTACACTTTTGTGCCAAAACATTTTGGGGACCAGACCTCTGGAGAAAGTGATGGTGACCTCAGGTCTGTGTTCTGCAGTGAGCTTCAAACGATGGTAATCATGAAGAGTAATTTTTAAAAAATGCAGCTCAGGATTCAAGAGCCTCCTGTTCCCTCTGATTCATCTGGCAGTTCTCACAACTGATGGATTTGGGAGGTTCTATGACATCACTTTGTAATAAATAATGAAAGAAAAATCTACAGCTGGCAAAACAGACCACTTTACTAGCTTATGATGGATAAAACATTTCTTCAAATATTTAGTTTGCCAGTAGTCTCTGTATTTTCCTCAGTTAAGTTACTTTCAGGATTAACTTTGTCAATCACAACATAAAAATCCCTCTTTAAACAAAAAAATAAACCTTAACATGTTGCACAAAATAAATTAAGACGAATTTAAGAACAGTATAAAACTTCTCCAGAGAATCAGAACACGTGTCCACAAATACAGCTGTGCTCACAGTTGGATTCCATGACTTTATCTGAACTATGCTTTACAAAAACATTTTCACACAACAAAATTCTTGTTAAGATGCTGTCAAACAGATCAGCAGAAGTTGTAAATAAGACCTGGATAATAAATGAACTGAGAAGATAGATGAGATTTTAATAAAAGGTCTTAGTTACCCTGGAAGCTGAGCTAAATCTGGAGACGATTGGGATTGGGCTCGCAGAAGTAGTTTTAGGACAACTGTTGCATCATGGCCCCCTGTGCATGAAGCACTGCAAGGTTTGATCTGCATAAAATACTGTACTGAGGGCGAGGACTTCTGAGTTACAACATGACATCTCAGCAGGGACAGACAAGTAATTAGCAAGAACCTCATTAAATGAGGTGCTGCATGTTTGAAACGGTGGTTCACAGAACAGTCTCTCAGGGAAATCTTTTGCCTCTTTATGAAGATCTTAGTTCACACAAACACGTGACTCAGCACAAATACTAGTTTCAACCCAGTCTCAGAAACAAGTGGCTCACAAGCCCTGCTCCCAACCTGCGTAAGCTGAGAGTCCATCATCTGGGAGGCTCCCATACCAGCCGCCTGGTTTATCTGGCCTTCATAAACCAGTGTCTGGCTTCCATTCATGGGCTGATAGGGGGACCCAGACTGGGTTTTCACCACCTCCAAGGGCTGCATGCCTGGGAAGGCGGAATACGGAGGCTTCAGAGCAGTGCCTCCTGTCAGGACCATGGTGCTGGGCTGAGACAGACTAGGGTGCATATACACCTGAGACCTGGAGAAGAAAAATATGCTCAAATCATTACACAGAAAGTCTTTGGAGACAATATACAGCCCCACCCGCCAAACTGTATCTGGCCTGCCATCAGCAAGCTGTTCTCAGACTCTACTAAACTGACAGCTTAGAAATAAGTTGTGATGTCACTTTCCATTTTAGTTACAGGGCTTTTTTACTTCCACTTTTAAGCCCTTATAACCATGTCCATGTATTGCAGAAATATTCAACAGAATGATGTGTCCAATCCCAAGTTCACGTTTCAATATCCTTAGCACAGTAAGATCTGGATTAGTAGTAAGGGAGGATTCAGGTTACCAGAAATCTGCAGCAGTTTAGCAAAGCAGAAAAGACTCAGAAATTAAATATTCAAACAGCTCCAGCAAAAAACCTTTTTTAAAACCTCAGTGTCTAGGCTTTTGAGGCCCTGAAGGACTATTGTGATAATTCGTCCTCATCTCATGCAGGAAAGGGGATAGAGAGTATAATTCCCACAACCAGTCCAACTCTGAAGGGGATGTCTCAATCCTTCAATTCTAGGAAGCAGTTCCTGTAGCCAAGTACTGCTGCTGTTACACTTGCATTCATTTTTCTAATTTGAATCTTAGAATTTTTTCTCCAACAACGTACAGGCATTTGTTCTGTTCTTGTCAGTTTGTATCTGATAAAAAGTTAATTAATTTTGCTATCCAGGTACTCAGCTCTGATCAAACTGTCTCTTTTGTCTTTGCTCCAGTAGTAAACCAGTACGCTGTAAGTTCTGGGTTTCTTACAAGCACGTCTGCTTGCCAGCCCACAAACCTCCTCTTTCTGCATCTTTCCCAAGATTTGCCTCCCCCTTTGAGAGGGTCGGCAGTACAACTGGATAGCTTTCCAAAGATAGTCTTTGCCATTGTCCTGCAAAGAAACACACTACAGCGCCTTATGTGCCCCGATATCCCTGTTCTCCACCCTGGCGGTGATACTAGGGGAAGGAAACAGCACATCAACTAAGGGGGAAGAGAAGATGAGTGTGGAGTATCTGATCAATGTATACAGACATCAGGAACATATAAGATGAAGCCACAAGGAAATGAAAAACTGGAAGCAGTTACCTGAAGGGCTGTATGGAGCTGTACATCTCCTGGGACTGGGAAACAGGCAGACCACCCCTCAGCCCCAGCTGAGCTTGGGCCTGTAAGGATGTGTGGAGGGAAATGGGAATCTGTTGAGCAGCAGCAGCCTGCAGAAGAAATTAAGATGACTGACAAGTACAAGAGGAACCAGGAACTCTCCCAGGCTGTTAAAAATCCATCAGTTTCCTCCATAAGTCAATCTGCCATGACAATTCCCTACACTGCACCTTTCTCCAGCCTTGGCATCGTTCCACAGAACAGCAGCACACTTGCAGGGGAAGATACTGCACAGGGACCCAAGAGGGAAGACTGCCTGCAAGAGGCATTTGATGGACACGTGAGGGGATCAAGGTGCTTCACACACTGAACAGGCACTAACAATCCCAGCCCTCACTTGCCTGCACTCTTACCTCGAAGGGGCTCTCCCCCAACCCTATCAACACCCTATTTCTTAAGGCTAATGAAACTGCTCTTTAGTACTGACTAGCTATGGAATTTACTGAAAGTCTCTTTATGTCACACAGATGCCTCAGCATCTGCTTCAGTTAAACCCAGTCCAAAGACAATTGGTACAAATGGGGAAAATACTCTCAATTCCCTCCTTTCACTAACCTCACACTCACTGGGAAGCAGCATCCAAGGAACCTAAAGGGAGCCACATTTAAGCTTTTTTTGGGCTATCAGAGAGATAAATGACTCCTTGTTTCTTAAATGCCACCCTGCAGACTCCCTGAGAAAGCACGAGCTAGCTGTATTTCTCCCTTACCTGTTGGTAGCTTTGCTGCTGAGGTATCGTCTGAGGGACCAGGCGGGGCTGACTTGCAAACACGTGGCCATCCAGATACAGGGGTGGAATATGGTTACCTAAACATCAGAGAAGGTAGGCTGTAAATTCAAGGTACAGGGGAGATACAGGCAGAGTACAGTGCGGAGAGCTGCAGGTCAAGACTATTCTCTCCCTCTCGGCAAGTCAACACAAATGTAGTACCCATTCAGATGAGCCTGTGAAACTCCTAAGTCCACATATCCAAGCCAACAGCCCACTTAGAGTAGCAGGCTTGCTGAAAATTAATTTTATCTTTCTGTAAGAGGGTAAATATAAATAAACCCAGTGTTCCCACCTCCACAAAAAAGTCAGAGACACTAACAATTCAGGAACTGGTGAACTGCAGTCTAAACTGTTCCTAAATGCCAGAATCCTGCCCTGCAATCATCTCACCTTTACAGCCAGGCAGGAGGGACAGAAAGAACAAACATGGTGTTTGAGACCTTCATACGTGAGATCTAAAAGCCATATTCACCCCAGTGGTGGCATCAATTAGAAAGTGATGTGCCACTCCTGTGGTTCTGTGCAGTTACACACAAAATCAGGGTGGGTGAGGAAGGAAATCACCTGGCTTGGAACAATCTGTTTTCCAAGTGGAATCTAGTAACCACAGTGTCCACTCGCTATCCCTTCTGTCCAATATATTCCACCCCATTGCTGAATTGAGGAATGAGAAGGAAAGTGCATGCATCAGAGGTCCTTTGGGACCCAGGAGTTGGAGAATCTGAGTACACTTCCTTCTTCCAGATGCTCTCCTTAATTATACACAGTCTAACATGACTAAGCTTAAGATTTTCCTCTAACTCAAGGACAGCAACACCTTCCCACCTCCCAGAGTTCTGCAAACTGTAAGCAAGTAGTTATTATGTACAAAGAGCAGAAGGTGCTCAGAACCTATGACTTAAAATAGCAAAACGAGCAGAGGAATGGTTATTAGGACTGTTGGGAGTCTCTCAGCTGTAGGTTTCCTCCCTTCTATTCTACTGAGCACACAGCAAAGGCTAAGTAGGAGCTATTAAGACAGCACAGAGACTTGCCACTACACAGAGGAAGTCATCCTTGTGCTAAGTTTATACCAGTCACACTCAAGTAACATTTTTCAAAGTGGGGAGATGGTCCCTCTTTCTGTCTTGACTGAATTATTAAGAATCTATTAAATAGCAGTCAGCCAGCTATTTTGAATGGAAGCTCTTCTCAGCAAGCTCTCATCTACCAGAATCACAGGATGATTGCTAGATACCAACCAGACAATGTAAATACTGCTGCTGCAGTTTGCAGTGTACCTGGAATAGATGCAGAAGGTGCTACGGACGCCACAGGCATAGGAGGCATAGAAACTCCACCAAAAGAGCTGTAGCTGACACCATTGGAAGCTCCAACACTGGAAGGAGGCTGGATGCCTGAACCTGCGCCTCCTGGCGAGTTCTGTTCTGGTAAACTAGGAGAATTTTCCCAAGCTTTACGAGCAGACTCCATCTATAGAAATGAAGGACAATAACTGCAGACAGTTCAAATGGGGAGGACAATACTGAAGCCTAGTGTTGCTCACCTATGACTTATTAGTTCAAATTCAATCTAGTCTAGACACAGTGAAAAGCTAGCAGGTCTCAGGTTAAGGGATTTCACACCATTTTCCAACGGGCAAGCATCCTTCATAAACACTCAATCCCCCCCCTTTATATTTGCTGAGCTTTTTGGGTTTGAAGTAGTGGGTTTTGTTTTGGGGTTTATTGTTGTTTGTATGTTGTGGTTTTTTTTTTCTTCTTTAAACCATCAGAACCTAGGATCCCTGACCCAGGGACTACCCAGCTACTAGTAGAAAAGTTCTGTTGCACTTGTTCTAAAACTGGTGAAGACTTCAGCATCCAGGACTGTTGAAACACATGCCCTTCCACCCATGCTGCACAACTTTTAAAGATTTAGCAAGATCTAACAAAACGCTCTGGGAAAGAACTCTCCGCCCTCACTACTCTGGCCATGGAGACCTAGTATCCACTCCTAGGACAAGCACACATGCCAGCTTGCTTACCTTAAGAGTAAGGTCTGCAGTGGGGAAGGACATTGGGTTCAGGCCAATGCACCGCTGGAGGTGATGATCTCTTCGCAGAATGGGAATGGACTGCGTTAACCCTGCCTGAGGGGAGATTTGTAAATGGTGAATATTTTAGAAACTCTTGTGAGAATGTCAGGAGCTACGAAGGCTGACAGAGCCTCAGCTGGCAGCTCTAGTAACTATATCTCAAAGGGTTCAATGAGTAGTACTGTGGGAGTAAGTACCACATTCAACTGTGATCCATTCTGAAGCTGGAATAAATGAAGCTTCAGATATGTGCAATGACAACCTCTATGCCAAGTTACAACAGCTTCCACTTAACCATCAATTTGAGCCAGTAACTTCACTTTGCAGAAGAGTTTCCTCTCCTGTCTGATATCTTGAATCTACCTACATTTTAGACAAAACGTGTCTCTGGAAGAGCACTTCTGAGAAGAAACACCCTTTAAGGCAAACCTTCAAAATCAAGGACACTACAAACTTGAAGACATTTCAAAATGTTTGTGAGTTTCTCACATTGTTGTCCACAGCTGAGCTACAAGTTGGGCTTTCAGTGTGCTCACTCTTTCACATGTAATAGTGAAACACCCAGGTGGCTGGAATAAGCTGGGAAACCTCCAAAAGGGCCTAACAAGTCACACTTCTCCACCTCACTCTGGCAGATGAGACCTTCTGAACAAGCTGGCAGTCTGGGCCTAAAAATGTCACTATCTGCATCACGTCCATTACCAGCACTCTTGTGTCTCGAGGGATGAGACTGGTGATCTCAGATCTGCAATACCTCTTGCTTTATACAGGCACAATGATAATGGAGTTGCTAGTGATGCTCATTTTATCAAGGTACCTTGAGGGTATAGATTTCCATTATGGATTTAAGTTACGTGCGCTGCCTAAGCATTAAGTGTAAAGTCAACTGCAAAGAAATATGCTCGCTTTCCTTGGAGGCATCTGAGGTTTAACTAAGGAGTATCTTCAATGAATCAATGCCAAAAGAAAAAAGAAATACTTACATTACTGGCCAAGGCATCCTGCAATTTGGTGACAGGATTAGCTGCAGTGCCAGAGGCAGAACCAGGCGGCAAGCTGAAATCAGAGTCCTGAAAAAGCAAAACACACAAAATTCAAATCCAGGTCCAAGTGCTACTTGTCTGCTTCTCATGGTTAATGACTTTAGCCTGAATCATGACACTAGAAGCTACTGACTGTCCTCCAGTAAGCCTTGCTGGAAGAGAACAAAAAGACTTCTCAGCACTCAGCAGCAGGCAACCCCCAGAGGCACTCAAGAGGCTTAGATGGCCATAATTTTGTCCCTCGCTTCTTACCACCCCAGCTGGTCCTTGGAACAATATTTCCAAGAGGATAATTATGTGTTCGCTAAGACATCTTGAGTACCTGGTTTGTGTCAGTAATGAAATCTAAGGCAAATCTACAGCTGGAAGCTTCCTCTAAATAATCCTTCTGCCTCAAACCACCTTTCATATCTCAACAAGCTCAAATCACCAAGAAGATAAAATTAAATTCAATCCTCACTTTAGGATTTACTCCAAATTCAATGGGTGGCACAGGAAGTACAGAATCCACGTGAATTTCCACCCCATTAACAGGGGGAATATTCCCTTCCAGCCGTTCCGTTCCCTCCGAACCCTTTCTGTTTTTCAGGGAGCGTTCGTTGCCGATTGGTCCAGGCTTGTGTTCCTTGTTCTGTCCTGAGCCTTGATCTGAATCCTTAACAGGAAAGCAGAGAGGCTGAGACACAAAGACTGAATAACCCAACCTCAAGCCTTAAAAATGCTATCAAGAACAACACAACCACTTCACAGGATCTCTCACTATGTGCTCTGGCTTGGCTGCAAATCCAGATTACCTTTTTATCAGATTGCTTCTGCACTTGCTCCTTCTGGCAGTCAGGCTTTGGGTCCACCAGGCCAGCCCCATTCATCTCCTCTGGTTTGAGGGTGCCATATGGAGAACTGCGCTGAGAGGAGGTAGCGGAGGATTCCCGAGACTCCGCGCTCAAGTCAATGCCACTATCCCCCTGGCTGCCTTTAAAACCCTGCTATGCAAAGCACGAAATGTGTTAAAGCCCCGGACACCGACCCAGCTCCACAAAGGAGGGAAAAAAAAAAAAAATCCCAGAAAACAGCAAGACCATGACCCCTTTTCAAATCACATTCTTGGTTAACTGCAAAGGAGTTGGGCCTGACCTGCAGCATCCCTTGGCTGCTAATTCAGCTCTACACAACCCTGAGACAGGTTAACCAATGTACCAACTGGACCATGGCTTTAGAAGAAGGAAAAAAGTGTCCACAGAGCAACTAGGCTGGGATTGCCAAACTCATTTCACTTGTGACCCAAACCAGATTTGAACTCTGGTCTCCAGAGGTAAAGCAGTCAGGAGCCTCCTCAGCCCTCCCTGCATTAAGACTACAGCTACACACTGCTCACAGCCTGAGGCACACAAACACCTACAGGATTTCACCATCCTCGACCACACTCTGCGTCCAGTTAGGAGCATAACCCTGGAATAGCTCTACCAGACAGTTACTCCAGATTTATACCCACGTGTAACACCAAGCGGCGCTTGGCCCTCTAGGTCAAGATTTGAGCAGCATCAAGCTCAAATAAGAACTGCAAAGAGACAGTTTAAAATTGCCCAAGCAGAGCTAAGAGTCACTAAGCACAGATGGAGCAATGAGAAGCATAAGCCACCTACGTTAATATTTTAGACACAATACCTGAATGGCACATTAGGTGCCACTTACCTCAGTGGTGCTAGATTCAGTACCATTAAAGGTATTTACAGGCTTGCTCCAGGAATCACTGCCAGGAGACTGAACAGAAAGAGCTGGAAAAGAATGGAGGGCAGGGTTCAGCTGCTTGAAACACAACTGTGTGAACACCTTGTACACCACTTCTAGACATGAGATAGGGTATTTCACCACCTCAGAAAGCTAGAGCTGCCCATTCAGCTGAGACACGACAGAGCACAGAGAAGACAGTGTATGGAGCGCGAGGGTAGAGAACAGGGAATAGGTTTCTTAGGGAACACAAAAACAACAGGAGAAAGAGATAGAAACAAGGGAGGTACTAGCTATTTGAGGCCAGAGGATGAGAAAACAGAGTAAGGCAAAGAAAATGGCTGAAGCAGATCCAGCCCAACAGGCTAGAAAATGGCATGTTGGATCCTGATGTTACAAGACCACCTAAGAAGATTAGGAGACTGACATGGTCAACAACAGGAGGAGGATGGCTGAACAGTACAGCTTTGAGTAGATGTTACTCCAAGTATCTGCTAGCTCCCCTCCCACTTCCAGCACAAACAAGAGAAGACTGTCTGCTCCTAAGTGTGGACACCCTGTCCTTTCTGCACACATCAGAGGATTTCACAGCTGTGTGAAACACTCCGGAACAGACCGACCCAAACTTACCTGGGCTGTTGCTCTCCCAGATCTCTGTGCCCAGGCTGTTTCCAGAAACCGTTACATCACTTTGCTCCAAGCACAAGCTGTTCTGCTTCTTAGCAAATCGAGGAGGAATGCGAGACTGAAGGACTCGGGCCTTAGCTGGTGCCTGAGAGAGAAAAAAAACACAGGCTGTAAGATCTGTCACTGCACTGGGCTAACACAGTCTGCTTCTGGCTAGTTCAAACCTTGGGTTTCTAAATGCTGCAATGTGAAAAGCCCCCAACTCATGTAACAGAACCATACAAAGTAGTTCTGACTCCATTCCCACTCTATGGTTTGGGTTTTTTTTTGGACGGACCCTGTAGCTGAGGTTCCCCCAGTATAACAAGGCAGTAAAAAAAGTTGCCTTCAGCAGCATGAGATTTTTTTCTTTTTAGGAGTTGGGGGAATAGGATACAAAGCAAAGCAGAATTAACACTACAACAGACTTGCTCTGCTTATGTCCTCTCATTTACTCCAGCTAAAGCAAGATCAATTAATAATCTCACAGCATAAAGATGGCTCTTTCAGAGCCA